TTCTGTCAGAATTCTTCATGAATATCATGCTGGAAACGATGGCGAACCCATGCATCTCCATGCCAAAACTCTCTTGAAAAAATTCATCATCCAATTGAAAATATGTTTTTCAAAAATTCTAGTATTCTTCATTGCATTGGGCAATCGATATGGTATCATATAAAATCTCATTAATAACCGACTCGAGCGTATCTAGGCTAAGTGCAAGTGAAAAGTTTGCTAATTACTTTGCAATGTATAATTTCATATTGTTATTGCATGTATATTCGCTTTCCAGTTCATGCTTCGTAAACACTGCTGCAATCAAATCAAGAAAGAAAAATAACATCATCAATATTGAATGTTGGTTTCTCTAGATTTTTAGGGTTTTCTCTCCTAGTTCCTACAAATAAAATAGTAGATTCTTCTATTAGGATCAAAAGTCCGAATGGAACATTCTTTTTTTTCTGCAACTGAAAGGATGAACTAAAATAAATGAGTAACCCCTAATGTACACTGTATAGAAAATTCATTTGAGTAACTGCATATGTGGTTGTGAGTGAATCAACTGATTGAAATTTTTGAGTGAATTCTCAACTCAAACTAGATATTTCATCAAGTTTTCCTATTAATAAGAAAATTACCATTTCACACAGTCAAAGAGGGTGATATTTCAACTCAATCGGGCGTGGACCGAAATTGACTCATTATTGCGTGGACCTTGAGTGAAATTTCACTAAATTTTTTTTCAGTATATGTAGATAGAAGCAAGACCTCAGACTACTTTACTTTGTTACAATTTGTGTTGACATGCATCATGTGATCAAATACGACAGGCACGAATTAAATACTATATACCCGGAACGTGGATGCCATATCATAATTATGTATGCAATGCAGATCAGGTTTATTAAATTTTCAAGGATGTTCGAATATAAATACAACCACAAAGTGACCCATTCGTGTATTTTATTGAATCGATGAATTCATTCGAACCAGGTGTCAGACCTGATACCCCTAATTGCAAATGCTGCGCCAGTACAGGTATAGAAAAAAATACTGGAAAATGTTCGGTTATTGAGCATATCAACAATGATAATAGCGGTTATTTATTTCTCCCCATATGCCACTGTGTTTGGCTCGGTAATCAAATGAAGGTAAACAATATCGTTTTGTGAGGCGTCAACTTCAAGAGCTAATTTTGGAATTAAAATGGACGACTTTTGAGTCAGTTGCAGAAAAAATACAATGTTTCCACATGTCTCTGGAACATAAAACATTTCGTTATCAGATGACGGTCGAAATTTGCAGCCGGTTCCCCTACTTTATAGGCAGGTCAACGCTGTCAGATCTTGATAAAATCAAAGCCTGGGGAATTTGCATCCTAATTGAATTCAATGCCACCAAAACTCAAGCCTGTATTTGCTCGAAAAGTATCGATTTTTTTCACAATGCAAATCCAAAAAATAATGCAATTCGAGTCTGAGAAAATTATATAAAACAATGTTTGTAATAAAATGAGCATGATATGTTAGGCACATGAATTAACGAGGAAGTTGTTTTCGTAAATTAAACAATGGGTATTGTTTTGTAGAATGTAATCCCCAAATTTGTTCATCAAGAAAACTCATTTACATACCTAATGGGATTTATCTGATGTAGTGATAAACTATGTACTAGTAACTAGTAGTTCACTATACATGATGAAAACTTAATTTGATACCCTTCATGAATAATTGTTATCATCATTCTGCAATTTTCTACATCCTTGGCACAATTCAGAATTAGAAGTCGTTTGTTTGTAAAGCAATCAATTCAAGTCCTCTGACTGATAGTCAATTTTGCGTAATTATACTTGATACTTGATTGAGAGAGTACCGTTCATCGTTCGTGATAATTATTATTTCCTCTCGAATTAAGAAGATTGGAAGTGATGATGATGATGATTAGATTCATTTCCAGAATGTTAAGATCATTGTTTGATATTTGACAATTTATCTTCTACAGAGGTTGAATTCCATTGAACAATGGAGTCTTATATCTATGTACAATGTCTTTACAACCCTGAAGAGTCCTATGTTATACAATACTACGATATAATATGATTTCTATTAGAAAACTAAACAGTCCTTATAAAAGTGATTATGAAATAATCCTATAAATATGTTTCATAATCACGTTATAAAATAAATTCAAATACCTTTGGATAAACCTACCATGAATATGTCCTTCCACAACGAAGTTCTTTGGCAAAATATGTATACATTTGTGGGAAAAAATTGAGGGTGTCAGATTTCAGTTAACGATTGGGTTTACTATGAATTGAAAAAAGAAAATTAGTTCCAATTTCAATGAGTTGGATTCAAGGTTGGATTCCAAATTTTAACGAAATATCATATGTTTTCCCATTTAGTTCAAAAGGGAAACATTCCCACATTAATGGATTTTCAAAATTTGATTGGGTGATGAAGATGGCGTAATCTTATACAATCTTTTTGTTCTACTCAGAACACTATACAATGATACAGTTTAATAATGTTGCTTTTTATAGGTATTGTTATTATAACCTCCAGAAATTTAAGAAAAACACCAATTCTTACCTTATTTCCCTTGGTTCTCACGTTCTCTGAACATTACAGGATGTCCCTCTTGGTGGAAACCAGAACATAAAAAAAATTTCGTGTTGGCTACTGATGCATATAAAATAGTTTTTATAATCAAGCAAAAATAACTCTAATAAAACTATTTATATGACCTCTATACAACCATATCTCAGTACCGAAATTGAATATTATGAGAATGATTATACAACTGTAATATGAAATGTATACAACACAAGTGTGAGTAACGATACAATTTTGTTTTATAATATGAGTTGTGACTTGTGAGTACGGTTATGCAACAGTTATATAGAAACAGATTTTTTTCTGAATACAATGATGTATAAAAAGTTGACTAAGATAGTCATTTGTTTTCAATAAATCATTTTCTCAACATGTATTGAAAAGGAATATTCTCAGATATACAAGGTGTCCCAGAACAACGTACCATGAATTCTACAAGGTAAACTAGACCAAAATAGGCCGATTGAAGTCGACTTACCTCTATACGAAAATGCACCCTTGAGCCGTGAGAGGGCACTGAAGAATAATTTCTTGTAAAACAGAAGAAGTAACAATGAAAATGTGTAAATAGTTTTTCCTACAACTGTAAAAAAACTGCACATTTTCAATATATTTTGTGTGCTTGAAGTGTACAATTTCTCAATATCAAATTACTATTATTTCACGGAAAACTGTGAAAAAAGTACGTTTTTTTCACGGTTTGTGTCATCAACAACGCAGTATATGGGCTCCTTCACGGTATTCAGCAAGGCAGCAAGCGAAGAACCAATATTGCACTGTGCACTGATATCGGCTTTTCAATATCAATTCGGTATCAGAAATATTTATTTCGTTATTTGAGCGACGTTAACGTGGTGCCTCAAGCACGTCTCCAACAAACGACTGCTCAGAGGGATCAAATACTGCAGCATTCGTTTTACTTGGTATTCTGGGATACAGAGAATGAAAATGGATCTGATACATTATACTAATATATTATTGTACCAATATCACATTTTTTTTCTGCAACCGACACAAAAGTCGTCCATTTTGATACCAAAATTAGCTCTTAAATTGACGTTTCTATTACTGACACAAAAATAGGTATGTTGCTAGGCAACATATTTAGTTCCTAGGAGCTAAAGTTTAATTTTAGTTCCTAGGAGCTAAAGTTGAACTTTAGCTCCTAGGAACTAAAAAGGATCTACTGGACGTCATCAAGAATGAACAACATTGTGACGGTTGGTTATTTGGGTTGAGACACATACCTGATTTGTTTCCGATTTCTTTCTTTTTGTTTTGATCAGGGAAGCCTTCAAGATTCAAATACTTGCGTGATCTGTATTTCATTCGTTATTCTCGGGATGGATAACTTTTCTCGGGATGGATAACTTGTTTTTGAATAATCACGGCAAGCAATAGTTTTTTTGTCTCAAACAACGATATTGTTTAGCTTCATTTGATTATCAAGTCTAACACAGTGTAGTATGGAGAGGAATAAATAATCACTATTATCATTGTTGATATGCTCACTAACCTAACATTTTCCACGTCTTGTTCCTATAGCTGGCACTTTCGCGGTATTTGCCATTAGAGCACCTGCGGTCCATACACAAATATGTCACTCTGTGGTTGTTTTCATATTGAAACTACAATTCGAACATCCTAGAAAACCTTACCTGCTGTTAAGCAGGTAGAATATTCAAACCACATGGATTATTTGTCAATATTTGTTGCATTGCATACATATGGCACGGCATTGGTGGTTACTTCATATGTTTATTTGAGTTAATTGTTTCGGTTGCAGAAAAAATAGCATGTTTCATTCGGATCAAAAGTGACTTTGTTCAACTCGCAAATTTTGCTTTCGCTCGGCTTCGCTAAACGCTCCGCCTCGCAAATGCAAAATTCGCTTGTCAAACAAAGTGTCACTTTTGATCCTAATAAAACAATCTACTATTATGAGGCTAATATGCCTTCGAATTTCGAATTTGAATATTCTGACGAAAACGAAATATAGTATTGATTGAATATTATAATTCTACATAAAGATAATATTGCAAAATGAGTACATCCTATTTTTGGCCAATATAGTAGGCAAAAATAAATTCAATATCGAATTTACATATGGAAATCATAAGAAACCGGTTTCTATAAGTTGGCATAATATCTTTGTCCAATCTTGTATACGAATATAAACTCGATATTGGATAAGGCATATCGAAACACGATTTAAATTTAACATAGCACCAAAATTCCAGAATGTTCACATTGATTTATTGGTCTTATATTTAAAAACAATATTTTCCCAACATTCACTCTTTATTGGTTCAATATTCAACCAATATCATTGTTCTACCTGGGCTAATACGCTGTCATATTTTTAGGATGAATTTCATTCTAGTTTTTTTTTTTCAGGAGGTTCTGCGTACTCTGCAGAGCAACAAAGACGACCCGATCAGCCGAAACGTCGGGCCCTTCCCTCGCAATGACGACGGTTTGTATTTCACCGAAGACATACAAATCCGGCCTAACGCCATTGGCAACCGGGGCTTCAGGCAGTCCAAGACGGAAGATTTCGACATACGTCGAAAATCTCCCACGTAAGTTCGAACTCTGTCTGAAATTCCCCTCTGGTTTTATTGAATGAATACTAGAACTCAATGTCTGACAGTTATATTATTTCTTACGTACCGCCATATATCAATAAAAAAAATTGTTATTTTTCTGCAACCGACACTGAAGTTGTTCACTTTAATACCAAAATTAGCCATTGAATTGACGTTTCTATTACTGACACAAAAAAAGGTATGTTGCTAGACAACATATTTAGTTCCTAGAAGCTAAAGTTGAACTTTAGTTCCTAGGAGCTTAATTTGAACTTTAGCTCCTAGGAGTGAGATCGGTGGAAATCAACATATCATTTCACCTTCAGGCCTGGGTTAAGTAATTACATTTTTATTGTGAAGGATAATAATCATCCTGTAGATCTTTTTCGAATCAGTGGATGGGGTATCTGTGACATAGCTGATGGCCATCGCTATAGATAATCTTATGATGTCAATTCACAGTATTGTCTATTCGATTCGTTTTATCATAGATTGAAAATATTAATCTATGGTTTTATTCAGTTAATTTATTCACTATTTTCCTTACTAGTATTATTATCCGCCTTTGTCAGTATAGCTTTTGAAAAATAATTGTGAATAAACCTTTATTTTCTGTTCGCCTATCTTGAATTATTTGATTCGATGACCATCAACATCTTAACAGATACCCGATCCACTGATTCGAAAATTCGGAAATGAAAAAACATGTTGATTGTTGATAAAGCATTGTCAAACTTTCGTTTTTGCATAATATAATTTATCGATTTTTAGAAAATCCAGTGAAAGTATGAGGAGAATTTTGAATATTTTATTTTTTATGCTTGCTTATGTGTTTTGAAAATTCCCTGTCACAGTTTACAAAAAACATATACAGCATGAACTTTTTAATAAAAACTGAACTATCGAAACTGTCCTGGATTTTTCCGATTCTGAAAATGTCAGTCGATTAGTTGTTGAAAAGTTATGCCCAAAAGATGTTTCCGCCAAATCTCATAATTCACCCTATATATTGGTAAAGAAGAGAAGTAGACACTTTCTGATGGTCATTAGACATTTCCTGTATGAATTGGTGGCTATGAAAATAGTTCTAAATGTCTGATTGGCGGGGTTACTCTATGTATATCCACGTATATTAGAAATTATACAAGGTATCTTAACTCAATTGAACGTTCTGATTGATTCAAAATCATGCGAAGAAAATAATCATTATTATTATCATTATTTTAGTTTTTTTTTTGTTTCAGGAAGATACATGATTTTCAAGTCACCGGTTGCGTGAAAATACAACTACCGAATGAGCATTCTCTATTGAAACTGAAGAAGAACGAACATATTCGCTACCAAAATAATGTGATATATAAAGATTCCCTAACACAATCCTCAGTAAGTCACATCGATATTATGATTACTAGATATGTATATTCTTCTTTCTACTCACATAACTAAAATGGCATTTAGCGTACGGATTTGTACCACGGTAAATGATCGATTAATCACGATCTGTGATTTATTCAAAATATCAAACACGTTACCATGGCAACACAAATTTCTTAAACACATTTCCATGGCAACAGAGGTGTTTAAACACACCTTCAGTCGTTCGAGTCCTGTCCGGCCTGTCAATTGCAGGAACTGTCAACTTTCATTTTCGACTTTTGTTGCAATCATAATTATTCAAACAATTTCTGTTTGTATCAAAATTCTTCATTAAAAATGTATGCGAAATGTAGACGAAAGTGTTTTAGGAAGGTGCTTGCATATTTCCAAGAACAAGAATACGAAGCTCTCATTTTTGTGGGCAATTCATTTTATGTCAAGCATGTCAATAAACGTAAAGCACAAAATTCATGTGAGCAAAATTATTCAATCAGAATATAGATACAAACCTGAGAAATCGAAAACTTTGGAACCTCAGCGAATCGAAGAGCTTTCATCTCATTTACAAAGGTCAGTAAACAAGCCATTTCAAAATCTTGACTATTCCAGTCTTATTGAAGTAGGACAAACATATAAATGTTGACGAAAAAAATATCTTCCATTATTGGAGCCCTGAGAAGATGTCCCAAGCTGAATGAAAAAGTTGCAAATATATTCTCATATACTCAGTTGTATTAACTATTTGATAAATGTTTGGGGATACTGTTCAAAAAACAATTTTAATAAAATATCTGCATTATATAAAAATACATTGAAAGTACTGTATTGTTTACCATATGATACACCAACCAATTATATCAATTATCAATCATTCTCATTAGAAGAAATGTTCAAAATTGAAAGACTGAAAATTACATACAATATCATAAATGAAAGATTGATATCTAATTTTATTTCAACACGAAACAATTAAATTCATAATTACCAAACTAGACAACATGGTTTATTTCATCTTGATATCGCTAATTCTTCTATAGGCCAAAAGAGATTCACCCACGCTGCTCTCTTGGAATATTACAAATTACCAGATAATATACAGTGTGTCCCACTTACCATGCTCACCATGGGTATCTTTTTAACGGTGAGCGATACGAGGTCGGTTAAATGACACCAAATGTGGAGTTTGTCAAGGCCAACTATAATGTGAAAAAATATTTTGATAAAATCTATTCGTTTTTGTTTTATACGCAAAAAACAGATTTTGATCATTTTCATGTCTCCTCCGTAACTTCTTTATTTATGAAAATATTCAAATAGGAATTTCACATTCTCATGGCAGTTTTTCAAAGTGAATTCGAAAAGCATATGAAATTTATACCAACTCTTCTAGAATTTGAGATATCAGCACCAACTTTAGTTTTTCAAATGTAGGTCATAGCTCACTATGACTTAGTTACGAATAACTTTTTTTTCTCTCACCGATGATATGTCGCAGTAATAGTTTTGTGTTGATAACAACGGAGTTATCGTCATCTTTACAAAAACAAAAAATTATTTGGAAGCCGCCATCTTGAATTTATAAATTTTAACAAGAAAATCATGATCTCCGACCACAAAAACCCCCACTTACCAATTTTGAATGGAATCGGACCAAATCTTGTCCGCCATCAATTAAAAACAAATGGCTGCTACAAGATGGCGGACAAGATTTGGTCCGATTCCGTTCAAAATTGGTAAGTGGCGGTTCTTGAGGTCACAGATCATGATTTTTTTGTTAAAATTTATAAATTCAAGATGGTGGCTCCCAAATAATCTTTTATTTTGTATAAATGACGATAACTCCGTTGTTATCAACACAAAACTATTACTGCGACATATCATCTGTGAGAGAAAAAAAAAGTTATTCGTAACTATGTCATAGTGAGCTATGACCTACATTTGAAAAACATAAGTTGGTGCTGATATCTCAAATTCTAGAAGAGTTGGTATAAATTTCAAATTTTTTTCGAAATCACTTTGAAAAACTGCCATGAGAATGTGAAATTCCCATTTGAATATTTTCATAAATAAAGAAGTTACGGAGGAGACATGAAAATGATCAAAATCTGTTTTTTGCGTATAAAACAAGAACGAATAGATTTCATCAAAATATTTTTTCACATTATAGTTGGCCTTGACAAACTCCACATTTGGTGTCATTTAACCGACCTCTCATCTCTCACCGTTAAAAAGATGTCCATGGTGAGCATGGTAAGTGGGACACACTGTATAAAAAATTGCAGAAATAAAATAACATTCAAATACCAACTTAAAAAATATATAATTTCTGAACGAAATAGATGATTTTTTTTTTCAACTTTTGATTCATATTTTTGCTCACCAATATGAAATGATTTGTCAATACTTAATACTTAATGTTTTCAAATATTGTATTATTTATTAGTTTATTATAATTGTATAGTTTTAGGTATTATTGTTAACTATACTTCCTTATACCAGAACTTCATTCTGTCTGGAAGTAACATTTTCAATAAATAAATGAAAATAAAATAAAATTTCACTCATCCGTTCACTCAATTTGTTTGCAGCCTTTGAAATCCGGCGTGCAATTCAAGTCGGCAAGGGTGCTAAACAAAAAAGAAGTAGAGCTGCGTGACGCCGGCAACCACGCGTACCTGCTCATCTTCGATTCATCCAAGGATGCCAAGAATTTCACCGAAACCGACAACGTCGCCTGTCTCTTCGACACGGAAAAGTCGACCATCACCAAAACTCTGCTGAGGTTGTTGGGAAAGAGGTCGAGCAGAGAGGTGCTCGAGAAAAAAGGGATTTATCAGAACGAGCCTATCTTCGGAAATACCCTCAAGAACATCTACAATTCAGAAAATGGTATTTATTAATTCTCCATTCAATAATAAAAATAATGATAATGATATTTATTTGATTTTTTGTTATAAACATTAGGCATCTCATATAAATATAAATATATTTTATTGATATTTACAATGAAATAACATTAATATTCAGACAGATTCATATCTGGTATGATATTATTCATGTGTTATTAAATCTAAGTTATTGAAATAAACAACAGATACATCAATAATAATAATAATAAACAAAAATCTCATAAAAAGTACATTATGACATGATGAAAAAAAATAGGGAATGAGAAATCATTCACTCAGGTTTGATTTTCACTTTGCAAGAGGATATGTTTTTTCTTTATTTATTTATTTATTTGTGGATCATCCAAACAGATGAACCTTAGTGGTTCATCCTTTAATAGGAAGATACATAGTAACATGTAAACATTATAACAAAATATCAATAGCTATGACAATATGTTGAGAGTTTTTACTTACATACTAAGGTGCAAATTTTATAGGTGCAGTAAGAAATACTAATAATATAATAGTAGAAATAATAATAATACAAACTATTTTAATTATCAACTGATGTGGGAGCATAAAAATCAAGCAAGAATCGCCGCAGTTTCTTCTTAAAGCTAATCATATTCGAATAGAACAAATCAATATTCGAGTGACAAATTGTGTTCTAAGCATTCATGCATCGGATCATTGGAGAGTTGCCATAATAGTTAGTTAAATAAGAGGGTGGGTAGAAGGTGAGGCGATTTCGCACAAGTCTTGGGTTACAGTTCAAAACTAAATATTCAGTGCAATTTGGTGAATCAATAAAATTATTCAATATTTTATATGTAAACAGAATATCGAAGAACTCCCTTCTGATGAACATTGATTCTATTTTGTAAAAGTTCAAATTTGATTCATATGTAAAATGATGACGATATTGGAAAAATCTGAAGTTAAGAGCATTTACCACTTTTTTTTTGTACATTTTCAATTCTTGCCACGTATTTAAGATAAAAAGGGTTCCATATACATGTACAGTATTCCAATATCGGCCTCACTAATGTTTTATAGACAGTTATTAGGGATCCATGATCACGAAAGTCCTTCGTATTTCTTAAAACGAATCCTAACATGCGAAGGGATTTCCTAACAGTTATCTCCAAATATGAGTCAAATGTCAACTTTTTGTCCAGGATGATTCCAAGGTCGCGCACCTCATCACACGGTGGTATTTTTTCGTTATTTATAAAAAGGTCATTCGATAGACAATTGTTGGTTCTTGAAAAAACAATCTGGTGACATTTCTCGATGTTCATGAATAATCTATTGAAATTACAGTAATCATAAAGAGTATTTAGGTCTTCTTGAAATTCAGCGTAATTTAATGTTTCGATTGGCATATAGAGCTTTAGATCGTCTGCATAAATTGCTACTTTCGAATATTTAAGGAATTTTTCCACATCGCTGACGAAGACACTGAGTAGAATGGGGTCTAAATGGGAGCCCTGGGGAACCCCAGAAGTGATGAGAGTTTTATTAGATACTGTCTGTAGGTCATTATTAGAGTTGAAATTGTTGATGGCAACGTACTGGCGCCTGTCTTGTATATAGGAGGTCAGGAGACTCAGGAGGTTTCTTGACTTTAATTTTGAACTGGGTGATATTCGTGCAACTTTTGATATCATCAGGTAATTTATTGAATTTTGAGATAGCTCTGTGAGTTAACTTTTTTTGACCAAGTGTAAAATGAGCAGATCCAGATGAAACAAGTCATATTGTCTAGTATGATGTTCATGGATTTGAGAATTCCTTACCATTATGAAGATAGATTTGAGGTGTTTGTTGATAATATCAAAAGAAATCTTGAGAGTATTTATCAGATAGTGCTCTTCCAAAGAAAATGTATTCGTTTCTTCATAATGTTGATTTGATGGGGTGTCATATGGAAGACGATACATTACTTTTAATGCTTTCTGATATAGTACACATATTTTGTAAAAAAATTTCTTTGAACATGAACTCCAAATATTTATTAGATAGTTCATTTTACTAAGGATGTGAGAGTATAGAACGCGGTATTTGCTATATTCGGGATGAGTTTTGGACATCTTCTTTTTTTTCTTCGTGCATGCCAATATGCTTGTTCCATGTTAACTTTTCATCAATCCAAAAAATACCAAGGTATTTGGTCCAGACTGTTTCAATGTCCCATTTTGTATTCTAATATTCAAATCAATCTTCTGTTTATTTCTTTGATGGAAAGTTATATATTGTGCCCTATTAGAATTGAGAGAAAGAAAATTGGAGAAAAGCCATTCTTCCATTTTCTTCAAATCCTCTTTTATGTTGATTTCTAAAATTACAGGGTTTTTGTTTTCAAATGAAAGTACTGTGTCATCTGCATATATGGCATAGTTTCCTATTAAATCTATTTTTGAAATGTTGTGAATGTATAAAAGATACAGAATCGGGCCCAACACTGATCCTTGGGGAACTCCTTTTCAAACATGATTTTGAACCACTTCAAAACGTCAAATCGCATTGAAAATATGCACATTTATCAAGGACCGATGACAATAGAATAATTTGATAGTTTTGTTTCATTATCCTGATCAGAATCTTCAGGATGAGCGGATTCTTTCCTTGAATAATAGTTATTCATTATACAAGGGAAAAAAGTAGTAGATTTCAGCTCCAGGTTGTGAGCTAAAATCTAATATTTTTCCCGTGTATAATACACAATTTTTTTCTGTGACAGAAGAAAGAACGTATCAATATTGAGAAGATATTACATTATTTTGAAATCTGAAACTTATCGATGTGAAATTTTAAGTTTTTAACAGTAGGGACACCTGCGTTGTAGGCATCTTTATCATTCTTTTGAAGTAATCAAATATCTGATGTCACTTCCGTCAGTCTTATTCTGTGAGTTGATTTGAAAAAATTGCGAATTTAGTGGTTGTTTAGTAATATACGTAACCGCGAAGTCGAATGGAAGATAAAAGGACTTGCAGTTCTTTCTCGGAGACGGTATTATTGACACATTTTTCGGAACTATAGCACAACAAAAGCCATCAACAGTGTATAGGGTGGCTACGGAAGTATTGCCTACGGAATATCTCAGTTATTGTATGAAGTAGGTTTGTGAAATTTGGAGCGTCGATATAATGACATGAGAGCTAGAATTTGAGCATATTGACATGTCGAAGTTAACTTCCGGTCTGACCGGAAGTAACATCAACTTTCTTATTTTGAATAGAAACCCTATTTTTTTTTCTTTTCGCTTTATTCAGCATTCAATTCCCTTTCTAATGACATATCATAAGTTGGTATCTAACCAGAAACTAGATCAGAAAAAAAAAATTATTGAAATTCACCGAGTAGGCCGTGGAAGCAAAATGAAAGCCAAAAATTGAAAAGTTGGCTATGGAAACCATACCAATGGTTATGCTGAATAGTACAGGCAAGAAAAAGTTGTATGTTCCTATTCAAGTTATGGACCTACAGAGTATTGTTTTTTTCCCAATTTTTCCAATATATTTTTTGGCGGCTTTTTATAACGCCGACGAATGAAAATAAAATATCACAGTAGTAGTAACTGTTATCAAGTGACGTATGGTTTCCATAGCCAACTTTTCAATTTTTGGCTTTCATTTTGCTTCCACGGCCTACTCGGTGAATTTCAATAATTTTTTCTGATCTAGTTTCTGGTTAGATACCAACTTGTGATATGTCATTAGAAAGGGAATTGAATGCTGAATAAAGCGAAAAAAAAAATAGGGTTTCTATTTGAAATAAGAAAGTTGATGTTACTTCCGGTCAGACCGGAAGTTAACTTCGACATGTCAATATGCTCAAATTCTAGCTCTTATGTCATTATATCGACGCTCCAAATTTCACAAACCTACTTCATACAATAACTGAGATATTCCGTAGGCAATACTTCCGTAGCCACCCGGTATAGTTCGGCAAAAGGGGAGTTGTTTCCCCTGTATCTTCTCCACTGGACGATTTTGACAAAACTCAATTGCGTCAAACAACGACCAGAGTAACCAATTCATAAGTATTCGCAACACATTTTGTTTCATGTCCTAAGAATTATAGCAAGGAAAAGATTTTCAAAACTGGACTTGAGAGGGTTGTATCTTCCTGGAAGAGCTTTTTTTAAAAATTATAATATTCATGCCGCTTTATATCTCGAAGAACTATGGTGAATTATTGCTAATATATAGCCTGAACCACCCTGTATATTAGCTCGCTCATTTCTATCCAATGAGCATATTAGTTGATGGAAAATACATCGAACCATTTTTCCTAATAACATAAAGGAATTCATCATAAAAAATATAATATGAATTTTTCACAATCTTCTGCTCTTTCAAGAATGTCACAAAAACCTGCGCATGCTCACATTTGCCGTGCGAGCCACGTTAGGGAACACTCGAATATTGGCCTTCTAGGTCTTTGAGTCCTGTGGTTTCAAAACATGGAATTTGCTTACATTTTTTTATGGTATGAAACAAGAGAAGATTGATGATAAGGTAAAATAACAACTACCATCCTATCATCCTTCCAGGCGTTCCCAGTTTCATTCTGAAAACCATGGAGCTCATCGAGCGGCCCGACAACATCACCAGCCTGGGACTGTACAGGACGTCCGGCAACCTGGCCACCATCCAGAAGATTCGCCTGGAAGTGGACAAGGGCAATCCCGGCATCCTCGACAACTACGCCAAGGATCCCGACGTGCTCACCGGCAGTCTGAAGCTGTTCTTCAGAGAGTTGAAGGAGCCGCTGATGTCTTGCCAAACTTGTGATAATCTGTCGTGTCTTGCGAGTGAGTCGTGTTTTCTTTTTTATTCAATGAATGTCCAATCAAATTCAATTACTTTGTGTATTCTCGACAATTCCGCGATATGAAAACCAATCAGAATGGTGTACAGGGTGATTCACCATAAATGTCCCCCCCCTCTAGCTCAGTTATTTTTAAACCGATTTCAAAATTTGAAATATCATCTTGAATGATTTTCGATAAAGTTTTTTTCCGATTTATCAGAAAATACAGGGTGCTCGGAACAAACGATCTACAGGGTACTATTTAATATTTTTATATGGAACACCCTATTTTTCATTGTATTTTTAGATTCTCCCTGAAGAGCTGATTTGATCGATGTATCACATTTGGGGTCTATCGGGAATGATTACAGAGATATAGAGTGTTCAAAATGGAGATTTTTTAACTTTAGGATTTTTTGAGGTCAAAACGGCTTTCATGTCCATATCTCAACTTTTGATTTACCATTTACTGACATTTAATAATTGAAACAGATACAGGGTGATCAGAATTCTGAATCTTGAACCACCCTGTAAATGTTCCAATTAAATGTCAGTAGACAGTAAATCAAAAGTTAAGATGTAAACATAGAAGCCGTTTCGACCAATAATGAATAGTTTCGAGACAAAAAAATCCTAAACTTGAAGAATCTCGATTTTGAACACCCTATATCTCTGTAATCATTCTCGCTAGACCCCAATTGTGATGCATTGATGAAATCAGCTCTTCAGGAAGAAACTTAAAATACAATGAAATACAGGGTGTTCTATTTGAAAAAATCAATTAGTACTCTGTAGATCATTTGTTTCGAGCACCCTGTATTTTCTGATGCAACGGGAAAAAGGAATCTGAGAAATCATTTTGGATTATTCTTGAAATTTTCGAATCGGTTGAATAATGAGTGAGCTAGGGGGGGGGAAGCATTTATGGTGAATCACCCTGTACCTTGATTTGATATACACTCACCGGCAGAAAAACCGGCCACCAAAAAATTTAGCCGAATTGTTCGCCTTGTAACTTTTTCAAATCTTGTCTGATTTTGGTGAAATTTCAACTGAATCGTATATTCATGTTTCGGAATGTTAGCCTGAATATTAATTCCTCAGAGAAGCTGATTGCTTGATCATTATACAGGAAAAAACAAAAGTTACTCTTTTACCATTAACTTCTTAACGCCCTGTGGCAGAGGTAAGTGGTTAAACTTCGTTTAATTATGGTTTGTATTGAAGTGTGGTCTCTTCATAATACAATGGTTTTTGATTCACGTCAGTACTTTTCAAGGAAATATACAAGTGTTTTAAGAGAATAGATTTTTTTATTTATATAGGGTTGTCGACAAAAAACCGTATTTTTGTTTTTGAATGATAACATTTTTATTATTGAACCGATTTCTTTGATTTTAGTCTTGTTCGGAAGATAATTGCACGAGATAAAACTCAACTTCATATATTTCAAATTCTTTCAGGAAATAAAATGGCGGACACGCCTAAACTTGATCAAACTGGCTGGAACTTTTTTGAGTCGCACTGTATTTTTTCACGTATGATATTCTGAAAGCGTGGACTTTTGTGAATAGAACAAGAGGTCAAAGATACAAATCCGTTGGACATTGCCTGATATATGACAGGATAAAGACAGGTGCATGTGTTTTCAGATCTGGATTCCAATGTTCTTGCATTCAACGGATTTCCTGTATTTTTTGTATGTACTCATACATCTGAAACACCAACCAACAGAATAAAATCTATTAGGTCCGTCACAATATTCAAGAGTGAACTGAAGAGTTACTTATCAGAAAGAGAACTTGCAAAATTACGAGATACTTTCAGTCAAAAATATATATCTTATTTGTGTTCCTCAAGGAACTGTTCTAGGTCCCCTTATCTTTCTCATTTATATCGATCATATATTAAAAATGATATTGATCATATGCTGATGCAACATTGGTAATTTTTTATGGAAGTTCTTGGTCACAAGCTGTATCTAATGCAGAAAATGCTATAGGAATAGTAAAACATATTCTTGGTTGTGACTTGTAAACGGAAAAGTAACACTTTCCGCACTTGTTAGGGTAAATAACCATTAATAATTCGAATGAGGTCATAGTCAAAAGAAGGACAACAGTAAATATTCTCATATATAATACCACAAGTGATAAAATTTTGCCGGAAATATTCGGTGATTGTTACGACAGCTTGTTGCCTAGTAATTTCGTGAATGACATTGTTATCAAAACTACGAGCCGAAGGCGAGTAGTTTTGGATCAATGTCATGAGCGAAATTAGAGCAGCAAGCTGGAGTATGTCAATCGACGAATATTTCCAGGAAAAATAGTATCACGAGTTGTATTCGTATGACTATTTCATGATTGAATGAGACAAAATATATATAAGAAATGGGAAACATAATTTAAGTATATTCCAACTCGAACTGCGAAGAAGAACATAATGATAGTAATAAAATACAGAATTCACTTTTTTAGAAATTAACTACCTACTTATAGTTATTCACAAAGTGGAATGTACAATTTTGATAAACAGTATTTTTTTATTATCTTGGAGATGGTTGCTCTCAAAAGAGTGTTCACAATTGCTATCCAATTCAAACAAAATAAATTGGATTTATGTGATATGGAATAATTAAAAAAAAAAGATATCGTCGCCGAGGGCTCGAACCATCGACCCTCGTATCCTCACGCAACAACCCTAACAGTTGCGCTACATCAGCTAGTAATTATAACAGTCAGTCACAATAACTTGAGTAATTGAAGAAAATTACTACAAAAAGGAATTTGGATTCTATTATTGTTGTGTCCAATATGCAAACTTTTCAAATTACACATGAAACGTCCAGCCAGAATAAAATTGTCTCACCTTTCGTACAAAACATCTCACTAACGCGAATTATAAGTAAATAAATCTCAAGGTTATTGTCTCAGATTTGAATCCAAAGCAATCTTGATCAGACAGGATGTCAAAATTTTATCGCTGATAAACGAGGTTTGTTGGTCACGTGTGGGTCAATTCGGCTTATGTATTGATAGAGCAAGTCCGATAAAATTTAATGATCAAAAAATATCGCTAGAATACAGAAGAAACCGTGAAAATGGTCGATTCTGATTGGTTCTCGAGATCAAGAGTGGAATAGTCAAATGTAAATACTTCACAAACGATAAGATTTCCACGAAATCCTCAACTGACGAAGCTACTGTGTTAGCGAAACATGTCGTCTGTTTGAAAATTTTGTTGAAATCTTATCGTTTGTGAAGTTTTTACATTTGCCATGTATTTCCATCAAGTTACGGCCGAGTCAATTGAAAAAAAAAGGAAATATTCTCATCCAGGGAACGACAAGAACTATTGTAAGAAAGACAAAGACAAAGTGCGGACGATCTTGAAGCACCTGCCTGAAGCCAACTCGGAAACGCTGTTAGCTCTCGTCCGGCACCTGATCGAGGTGGTCAAGTACAAAGATCAAAATAAGATGGACACGTACAATCTGGCCGTCTGTTGGGGCCCCACCGTCATTTTCGCCACGGACGCTTCGGACTGCTCGAAGGATCTAGTCACCCAGTCCACCGAGGCCACAAGGTATATCATCTGTTTTTTGTTTCCAATGAGCTTATTAGGTGACTCGAATATGCATCGAAACAGTATCTATGGTCTATGACGAGGATCAGTCAATCCATATTACCATAGAACAAAAAAAATAAATTTTTCTTAGAAGAAACAAATGAAAAGGAAGTTGAGGATACAATATTCAGTTTGAAATTGAAGAAATGCCCTGGTATAGATGGAATAACATCTGAAATGTTGAGAGCTTCATCAAATATAATAAGCAAACCATTAACGTACCTTATAAATATTATATTCCAAACAGGAATTTGTCCAAAATCATTCAAAACTGGAGTTATTAAACCAATTTATAAGAATGGAAATAAAGACGAAATTATAAATTATACAGGGTGGGCCACCAGTAACGCCTCGGTCTCTAGAAGGCTAACCACTTATCTTCTTGGAATTCTTCCTCTCTAGGAAGTTGCATGTCAACATAGGCTACCATTTAAAATTATTTTGAAACATACAGGATGTCCCTAAAAATCACAAAACACTGAAGTTGAACTTTTTTCAATCGAACACCCTATATATTATTTCATTTTGAGATTCTCCCTGGTGAGCTGATTTCAACGACCCATCATACTTGGGGTCTAGCAGTTATAATTACTGAGATATAGGGTGTGATGGCGGAGAAAATGGCCCCAAAAGACCAGAAAAATAGGTTTTCAGCCAACATCTCCTAAAATATGGCAGTTAGAGATTTTCGGTTCAGATAAAAATTGAAGTTCAGTTAATTTTCTACAAAAATGGTCCTTATCATTTTTCTCAAAAATTTGCCCGGTTTCGAGAAAAACGGCACGAAGCGCACCTCGAATAATGAGCACAGTCCGTGTATTTACACATCGGCGGGGGGACAAATTATTCAATAACTTTGTTAAAAATGCATATTTTCTCATGATTCAAAGTTCATGTGAAAGAGGAATTCTGCTGCTATCATACCCTGTGAATTGAGTCACGCTTGACTCTTTTGGCCATATCGGAACATGGGTCAAACTTTCTGCTCCCGGTCAATTTTGTCCTCGCCAGGAATTTGTTCCTATTTTTTTTTGTATTGCACTAATTTACTCAGAATTTTCTTGATTATGGGTCCTCATAAGGTCCTTTGTCATCCCTGAAATTTGTATACCCTAATTTTTTAAATTTTCATTTAATCTTTGTTTATTGAATCCCAATTTTTTGCTGTTTTTGGAGCGTGGGGAAATTTTGTAAACAACCATCAATTAAACATGTATACATGATCCGATTCGTTTCTATGATACATCATTTGAAAGCTAAGAAGGTCTACTTTTCGATTGTGCAATTACTTTTTTAGACGAAGTCGTCCATTTTTCAATAAAATTAGAAAAAGCGGGGTCAAGGAAAAAACGCACTTTTTTTTCGGTGTTTTTTTTCTCCGTGCTCTTTATTTCTAACATTTCAACACCTTAACTAGTGTAACGGGGGAATTCCCACCTTTCCATCGATGTATATAAGTCATACCTTTGATATCCCGGGAAAAACCAGTATATCTAAATGTACACGCTATAATTTATTACTTTCGTTTCTCCGTCGTTCGCCGCGTGTGTGCTCTACGTGGCGCTCGGGTCGTCTGCTACAAACCATGCGGCCACGCAGGGTATGATAGCAGCAGAATTCCTCTTTCACATGAACTTTGAATCATGAGAAAATATGCATTTTTAACAAAGTTATTGAATAATTTGTCCCCCCGCCGATGTGTAAATACACGGACTGTGCTCTCCGGCATACAACACAGAAGCTCATTATTCGAGGTGCGTTTCGTGCCGTTTTTCTCGAAACCGGGCAAATTTTTAAGAAAAATGATAAGGACCATTTTTGTCGAAAATTAACTGAACTTCAATTTTTATCTGAACCGAAAATCTCTAACTGCCATATTTTAGGAGATATTGGCTGAAAACCTATATTCCTGGTCTTTTGGGGCCATTTTCTCCGCCATTGCACGCGTTTTCCAGTCAAACTTTGTCTCATGTTTAATGAGGTACCAAAAGCTACTTCCAATCGGAAGATGAAAATAGTGCGTAATTAACGTTAACTTTGCCTTTTTTTCCTCCTTCATTTATTGGACTATTTGGTTTATGAGTTTTGGGCTTTGTGGCTCTAGTAGCCACAGGTAAAGCAGTTGGACAATAAAATTGGTAATACTGCTGTTTGATTTCGAAGGCTGTTCGATGCTCTGCTCACGTTTTACATAAACAATCCGGAGGAACTCGAATTGAGGAAGAGGCCTCGCTTGGACTCTAACAGGAACACCATCCATCGGGAGGATTCCAAAGACAGCGTCGCCAGTTCCGATAGTAGCAGTTCGTGGCATAAAAAAAGTGAGTGAGATAATATTTCGGTTACAAAGTCATAAGCGTTGACTCTTTCTATTGTCAGACAATCACCCCACCCTGTATATCCCAAAAAATATTTCAAAAATCAACTTGTGAAACATTGTTCCAATAAAAAAAGCTGAATGTACAAGGTGAGGCATTTTTGTTAAGGGGAATGTGAAAATCATTGAAATATGCCGCCTCAATGAAAGCATACTAACGGAAATTTATCAATTGAACATTCCATACATTTTGTAGAACTCTGTCATCGAATCTTCTTTCTCAATAGTTTTTTCTGTGCATTGTCAAAAAATGTATCATGTTCACGAAAATAATTAACTTTTTTACATGCTTTTGATTTATGGTGAGTGTCACCAAAGTGCAGCTGTGTCATTTGTACACTGAAAGATTTTTGATAAGAAATTATCCATCACCGCTAATGTTCGTTAATAACAAAGATGTTGTGACACAGGGTGTTGATTTTTTTATAGATTCGAGCAATCCGAACATCGATATTATCGATGAAGGTCTGCGGAAAAGCGTCGAACTTATTGAAAATTGTATTACGACGAACGGTCTCTACAAAAAATCCGGCTCGCTGGAAAGGACGAACAAGATTGTGAAGAAAATGACGAAGAAAAAGACAGCGGAAATGGAAAAATACAAACATGACGTCTACGAGTTGACTGACTCTTTGAAGAAATATATGAGGGAAGTTCACGAACCGCTAGTGACCAAAGAAGCTGTCGAGCATATTAATAAACTCTGTGGTAAGGATTTTGATGAATATTTCAGATTACAGTTCTTTCAATCATGAGGATTTCAAAATCACGATTATTAAACATATGATTCTAATAAACGCGGATATATATTATACACATCAACATACAGTCCTTTCTCAGTGAAGTTGGCCCAAATATCAAGACATAATTTCTTATGAAATTTGTCATGATTGCAAAAAAGTATTAGAAACTAAAATGTATTTCTGATAACATAAGATATTTTTAATCCCTATCAGCCCAAAATACTACATTTTGTGTAACAGAGAAGAATTATCTTAAAAATTGTAACAAATCACCACCGATGCCTTACATCGCCTTTGCGACTTATCACTGCTTCGATACGTCTTGATCATCGCTATAAATTGAGGTGTGTGTTAATACCCTATTTCTATTAATGTAACTGTGAAATCGTATCTGACAATCAGGCGGTATTAGGGAAATTGATAAAACAAAGAGCAGAATATATGTCTCATTTTTTATTCACTCAAGCATTGTAATTTAGAAAATATGAAAGGACAGATGTTCAGCTGTCTCCGAACTCTTATCTACTAATACCATCACTACCCGTTGTCCTATTACTCGTTTTCCCGTAGAAATGAAGCATTTTCCCGCAATAAAAAGTAATGTTAATGAGGGATAATGTCGGCTTCTGATGGTAAAATGTAGTAGTAGTAGTTTCGAAGCCTATTCAATACTAACAAACAAATCTGTCTCTTTATAATATTATTGTCCAATCATTTGGTAGTTTTGACAGGAAAAAATTGCTAAAGATTTTTCTCTCAACGGATTCATATGTTTTTTGGGATGCTGAATCTGAAAATTCAGCTTTCGACTAGATTCGGATATGGCTTTACCATGAAAATGGTAGATAATCATGAAAAATCGGGAGTTGTTTTAGTTTTTCGCTCATAACTCTAAAACGACTAGATATAGAGAAGAATAAGCGCAGATAAAAATGAAAGCTAATGAAAATTACAAAAAAATAAGATAGCAATCAGCCCGCTCACTTATCTGGTTCAGCCGATAGAGCGCGCTGAAGATTGAACACAGTTTTCAAGTTATTCAAAATATTCGTTTTTCAGACTTTCAAAGCAATTTGTGAAAAAGATTTTCCATTAACGGCCAACGGTTTCCTTATGATCATAGAAGTTTCGAAACGGACAGCTTCTAGGTAACTCGCACTAAATCCTAGGGAGGGTAAGATCTCAATCAAATTTTTCGACACAAATTTCTTGTACAAGGATGCGGACAAGCCTACCAACAACGATGAAACGAATGAATTCGGCCTAACGGCTGATATCAATGCATGAGCAATAGCTGTGCATTCATTTTCCCATTTCGTTGAATCTCCTCTTTTCTTATTCAGTACCAGTGTATCAAGGAATGTTTTGAGTGTTGAAGGTATTGGGTCATTTGCCTGTTTCAAAAAATCTTCTGGTGGAGGATACTCTGTCGAATCATATACTTGCGATCGTATATGTTCAAGGACTATAGCCGCTGCTCCCCTAAATATACAAGGTCGTTCTTCAGCTACTGACGACGTTTTTTGATCTGTTTACCAGGATTCCGTGAGAATCTTGTACCCTGTATTTTCAAAACAGACAATGTAGGTTTTTTTTGTGTAATGGAGATGTCATCACCATGCCTACTGTTTAGATGAGCAACAACAACTGTCTTTCAATGAGGAAGATTGTCGCCTTCTATTTCACTCATTAAGTCCTCGGCTGTGAACTGACATTCCTCGTCATTGGTCTCGAGATAGTTGTATATTGGTTCCAATCTACATACAAGAACGATGGCATTGATCACCAGCCGCAACCAGGTTTTCAATAGGTCCTAAACAGTGTTCAACGGCTCGGGAATAATCACCATTTAAAGTACTGGCATGTTGAATAACATTACCTTCACATTCATCGTTCTCACCTAATAGACAGGGTCACGTGCAGATGCAGTCAACTTTTTTGTTTCGCAGCATAGTTCTTCGGAATTTCATTACAACACAGGAAACAATGAGTTCGTAATGCAAAAATATGTTGAGCTGATCGTAATTGCTCAGGAGGGTTGCCCGCTTTAGCCTTTTTTTCAGCAGCAACAATATTTGTTGCCTTGGTGTATTGTTTCCTGCATGAAACATAAACTGTGACAGAGTCTGATCTCTCAAACATATCATTTTTACCGTCTTTCTTCCTCACGCTAGCTTCTACAATGGCTTTCAATCCTCTCTGCACACTCACAATTTCGGTTCCATCGTCCAGCGGCTTATCACAAAGTGTACAATAGTTATCATTCGGCATTTCAACTCACTTACCAGAAATGGAAAATAACATGAATTTTGAAACAAATCACTCAGCAAGTAACTGTTAGTCCAATAAGAAGGAGGAAAAAAACGCAAAGTTAACGTTAATTACGCACTATTTCATCTTCCAGTTGGAAGTAGCTTTTGGTACCTCATTAAACATGAGACAAAGTTTGACTGGAAAACGCGTGCGATGGCGGAGAAAATGGCCCCAAAAGACCAGGAAAATAGGTTTTCAGCCAATATCTCCTAAAATATGGCAGTTCATGAGAAAATATGCATTTTTAACAAAGTTATTGAATAATTTGTCCCCCCGCCGATGTGTAAATACACGGACTGTGCTCTCCGGCATACAACACAAAAGCTCATTATTCGAGGCGCGCTTCGTGCCGTTTTTCTCAAAAACGGGCAAATTTTCGAGAAAAATAATAAGGACCATTTTTGTAGAAAATTAACTGAACTTCAATTTTTAACTGAACCGAAAATCTCTAACTGCCATATTTTAGGAGATATTGGCTGAAAACCTATCTTTCCTGGTCTTTTGGGGCCATTTTCTCCGCCATCGCACGCGGTTTTCAGTCAAACTTTGTCTCAAGTTTAATGAGGTATCAAAAGCTACTTCCAACCGGAAGATGAAAATAGTGCGTAATTAATGTTAACTTTTTCCCTTTATTTATTGGAATATGTGTGGCAATCGGGGTTGTTCCAAGAGGATAGAAAATGGTATGATAGAAAAATTTCAATTTTCGTGCTAGATTCAGAATGAAGCGTAATTGATGTATATTTGTGATTTGGAGGAAAATTAAAAATTAAGGCATAAAATAAATGTTGAGGAAAAGGAGGTTCAGGATACTTCATACTAGCATGGCGATGTATACTAATTTAAAATCTGAAATACGAAAATTTTGGACAACTTCAAAACTATCGCCAATATTCAGGGCGCTCAAACAAGATATCAAGCCAATTTTGATCTTGTTCCACAGTGAATTTTAAAGGCTTTGATTTTTGTTTGATGTATTTTTTCTCTCACTCACGTCGTTTCTGAGTTATAAGCAAAACATCAAAATAAGTCCCGAATTTTCATGGTTTATTGCGATTTTCTTGGTGAAGCCATATTCGAATCTAGTCGATAACTAGATTTCCAGATTCAGCACCACAAAAACCATATAGATCTGTCGAGAAAAAATCTTTAGCAATTTTTTCCTGAATCCAGTGGTTTCCGTCACCAAATGACTGGATTATTAGTGTAGATCAATTCTTCCTTTTGACTACAGATAATACTCGCTGCCTGGATGACTCCACGCGGCACATGGTCGCCTCGATCGTCATGGACCTGCCGAAGCGTTGCAGCCTCGTCTTCGTCGTCAAGCACCTGATCAAGGTGATCAAGAACGAGCCGGCGCACCGGGTGCCCAGGGCCGAGATGATCGCCATCTGGTCGGAGGTGCTGAACGACCGGCACGACCAGCGGCCGGTCCTGGAGGCGCGTGGCGAGTTCGACCGCTTCCTCGCGATTCTCGTCGATGTTTTCGACGACACGAAGGTGGGTGTTATCTTAGACTATAGGCCTGTTCGTTTGTGCTTGCTCAACCTGCTGAACTTGATTTTTTTCTATGACTTTCTTTGTTTACATCATGGCATGAACAGAGACAACTATGGGAAAAAGATCAACTTTCGCCACTTTAGCAATACAAACGAACAGGCCTAATATAACAATAGATAGACACACAGATTAATTCATGAATCATCAAAAAGTATACGCCAACAATCCTTAACGCCTAACACGGATGAATGTATGAAATCGCGAATGGTGGGCATAATAACTCTGCGGAATTTATTTATTCATTTATTCATTTATTTATTGAACAAATAACTTCCAGGCAGAATTGGCTCTGGTATAAGGAACTACATAATTATATACCTATAGGTAAACATTTCATCATTCAAAATAAACTACTCAACACTAATTTCGTCGCACACCAAAATGTCGCCCCTGATATAATGTGAATAACTTTTTTCAGTTTAGAACAATTTGAATTTGGTTCACACTGTTCGATAGCCTAGTCCTTCAGCTATAATCTGGTACTTCATTGGAACATGAGGGTATTCACATAAAATCTCTACATGGTGTTTTCCTACACTGTGCAAAATTTCGGAATATTCAAAAGGCTCTCAAATGGTGAAAAAAAAAAAATGTTTCTCAACTTCGACAACAGAGGCATGAAGATGATCTCATTACCCTCGAGATATTTCGCGAATCAACTTCCTATCTCTCTTATTTACAGAGTGATCTCAAAAAATCAACTTTTTGGTTTTGCAGCCATAACTTTTTTCCACGTCAACCGATTTTGGAAATCTTAGGCTCATTTTCTTGAAAGTGACCCAAATCTGGAACGCCCTCCGAATCTCGATTGGGAGGAGAATTGAATGAAAATCAACTTGTTCTCGGAAAAACAATTCATTCTGGATGCGTCCATATTTTCCTCGCTCTCAGTACTCAAGAATGTGTGTGAGAAAACACAATTGTAACATGTTCTTGCAAAAACATCAGACCATTTCTCCTCTGTAATGCATGGCCCGTAACCAACGTTACAAAAATCACAGTAAGTGACTGACAAGTCAGGTTAGACGTCGTTTTCGAATCATAAACAGATTTTGATAGTTTCGATGCCGCATCTAACGACCGACCAGTTGGAACTGATTCCACAAATGAGGGAACAAGGGTTATCTTCCCTCCAA